AGAGAGAGAGAGAGAGAGAGAGAGAGAGAGAGAGAGAGAGAGAGAGATCGAATTAACGAACGAAAAAAGAAGGTTAATAGAAAGTATATTATATATTTGAGTAAAACAGTTCGAGGGTTGGCATTATCCATGCCTGGATAGAAACTTAAAATCGTCTTTTTACCAAATACGCGGATTCGTTTAGTTTTGCCACTTTTTTGTTTACGTTTTAAGAGGGGATACCGCATTGGGAGGCCAAATATTAAATGTTCGTTTTTTTTTTAAATCTTTCAGATATCAGCTGTTCCTCGAAGACAACTGTTTGGAGAAATGTAGTTTCTGTGTGAAATGAAATGAAAAACTGACCGAATGTACTTCAAATCATATATAAAATATTCTCAAGCTTATGAAAACATTACAGAAATTGTTCTCTGTAAAAAAAATTACTAGGAATACTTGATATTTGGCCTCCTAGGTAGACTTTCCTCCCTAAGAGGCGCTACGTCGCGCACGCTCAGGAAACGATTGGAGGAGAGGATTCACCGATTTAGAGGTCCACTTAGAGTCGAGAACGAAAGGTCTTGGATAAAGTCAACGCTCGTTTACTCATAACTTATTATGTACATCGTCTGAAGGAACCGGTACGTTCGTAAAGAAAAATAAACACTAAGTATGTATCAATCGGTTTCGTTCATTTCCCCAAGTGACGGAGTGCAATTTACAGGTCCCATATAAAATAAAAATAAAAATTTTTTTTCCAGGATTTATTGGTTACGAATAATTTATTAACAGATATTGAGTTACACGTGGCTCCATTTTGAATGAACTTCGACGTTTTATTTTGTTTTATTCGGTGCTCACGTTGAATTACGAATTTCGAAATGCTTTGGAAGTTTGTTGGCATTAAAGTATTTGACGTTGTATCTTAGGAAGGAAATTTTGGAGAATTCGGAGAAGTTTAGACCGGTGAACGAAGTAAGTACAATTACTGTAAATATTTACAAAACACAATAAATATTATGCTTCACCGTTCTAAATTACAAAGTATCGTTTATTAATTTATCGAAGCAATAACAATGATCATATCTTCATTTTTAGACCGAGAACATCGTAAGTTTTTCCTTTAAAAAAAATTGTATAAAAATTACTCGTAGTTAGAATATAAATGAAACTATTTACATTGTACCATTTTGAAATGAAAATAGTCAATTGTCGAATGGTGATTATTATGTTAAGTGGACCGAGATTCCCAAATCTAGATAAACAAGAACTGTATGGTTTGTGAATAGGAATTGTATATTTATACATATTTTTAACCATAGTAATTAGAGACGCAAGTTAACTGAAATTATTATACGAGTATGATGTACAATTACAATAAAATTATACAATAGTACGATATTTTTAAATTCTTCGTCATCACTGAACTATATTATAGCGTATAAATGTTCTGTTATCTTTTCAAATAAATGTTATTAAATCTTTCAGATCTTCTGATTCTTCGTTCCTCCATCGAAAGCACCTTTAACACCATTTTATATAAATAAGGACGATCAGATTTTTAAGGATAATTTAATCAATTTTGCTATTACTTACAGCTTTGGAATGTCTTTAACGTACTGTGGCTCGTTGGAACGTCCCACTGGGTCTTCAAATTTACATTTCTCTCTCCAAACCACCGTGCTATTCAACAAAGTAGAAAAGTTTTTGTTATTCAAAAGCACGGATCTCTTTGCTTCCGTCATTTCAATCTTATGCGATTTTTGCGAACGCAGTATCAGCTCTTTTCTTTTTTTCGTGTACTCTTTATCCTGCTTCCTGCAACGATTTAATTTTATCGCTTCAAAAATCTCACTTAAAAGCAATTGTTTTGAATTACGTCTGAATTAAAAATTACCTGAAAGCTTTAACTAGTTCCGAATCATAAGTACACTTGTCCTTCGAATTGGCACTCGATTCCCTCGAGGCACTCTCTAGTGACTTCTTCTTTTTATATTCCTCCAAAGCTTCCAGAATTTTCTCCCTACGCCTTCTTCTTTGTTTCTCTTCAGTTTCTCTTTTTAATTTTATCCGAATTTTCAGTTGTTCTTCGTCCATCGTGCGTTTATTCTCCTTTTCCATCCGCCATTTTTTAATTAAGTCCTTCTTTAGACTTACGTTGGAATCTGCACTGTGGTTCGACCTGGAAGCTTCGCTTCGCGATAGTTTCTTCTTTTTAAAAACTTCCGTTTTCTCTTTTTCGTTCGAGTCATCATTTTCTTCAAAATAATTTTGATTGTTTCTGGATTCTTCGGCACTCTTTATTTTCTTTAGCTCCCTCTTCTGTCGCCATTCTTTTACAACTGATTTTTGTTTTTCCCGCAGGTCTGTGTACAATTTGTACCATGCCTCGTGATTCACTATAGTCTCCGTTGATAAATCAGGAAATTTCTTCTGTACAGCGGCGACCAGAGCTGGAATGTTATTACATTTCTTCCGCATTTTCAAGAAGTATAAATGATCATCCGTGCTCCAGTTTTCCGTGTGTCCTAACGACAATTTATATTTTCAATTAGCGATTAAAAAAGGATAAGATTTATTTTCGCTACCTGTTCTCGCAACAAGTGCATGGAAATCTTCCGCGTCCCTGTAATCCTTCCTTTCTCTTCTGCTTTCGATTCTACTTTGGCACGCTGATAAAACGTTCTTCTGAAAATGTTCATACTTTTTTATTCGTGGCTCGAAGTCGCGTAATTCATTCCTAAGCGTTGCCTGTTCTTCCACCAGAGCCTCGATGCAACAGGATTTTTTGAAATCCTGCATCTTTTGCCAAAATTTGATCAATTTTAGTTTGTACGTGTTCACATCTGAACATAAATAAAAATAAAAATAATACACATCGATTTACAGTGATATCAGAATTGAATATTAATGTTTACCTAATTTCTTTAGTTCTTCTGGATTCCTCGCTACGAGTTTAATAGAATCCATTTCTGTAGCGATGTCTTCCATGTACTTATACATCGTGTTCAAAAAGATTTGCCTGACAAATATTGCAAAATAATTTTCAAATTAGATGTTTGTCGCTTTAAAGGTGGCGCCCTCTACTTGGAGGACACTGGTCTCAAGTATTTTGGAGAAAAAAAAATAAATGTTAGTCTGTACTCCAGTAGTACCTTTTAGATGACATTTCCTTGCGTTCGTGAATAATTTCCTGCAACAAATCCTTATCGATTTTCATGTTATCGATGGCACAAGCCACTCCCCTATCAAGAATGATCTCCTGTTGTTTCAACTTCAGCAATGGTTTCAACCATAAGTCCCTCTCTGCCGAGGACATTTTCCTTCTCAAACCATTCTTCTTTTCTTCGACCTTGTCTTCGTTGATTTCCATTGAAGCAATAGATTAAAATTCAATTGAAATTAATCGTTAATGTTAGTTTGTTCCAATAACCCCTGTTTCAAGGCTGACGTTTACTTCAGACAACTGAATTCGATTTGTGTCGACTTATGTGTTCTATGGGTTTCCATAGCGATCTACCGTAATTTCACCCCATACGTCGTTGCACCTGGCCATTGAAAACGTGAAAGTATTTATTTGTACGTGCAGTCGATAAATCAGGTCGCAAAACGTGTTCAGCAAAAATAACAAATAAACATATGTCAAGAACTGAGATATTTAATTTGTAAATAATACTTATTAT